AAAAAAAAAGACCCATCTCCCTCAACGAACCCTAGCAGTCAACTTTTAGTTATTACGATTTCAGAATCATTTGGTCTATCAAAATTTATACGACTAGTATTCATTTTATTTTTTAATTCTAAAATTGTATCTTTTATCATATAAGGATTTAAATCTTCAGATCTATTCGAATAAAAATGGAAAGCTTTCTTAAAATCTAAATAATCTAGATATTTGGAAGTATTTAAGTTATATTTATCGAAGATATCAATTAATAAAGCAATACCTTTTTTATCTGTAACACTAAATATACATTCATCTTTATAAATACGAACTCCTCCGCTTCTTAATCTGTCTTTAATATCTCTTAAAACCTTTTCGTCATCTTTATGTAATGCTATTTTAAACATGAATGAAAAACTAGAAATAGTAAATTTATCTTTTTTTAAATGACTATTAATGGTAAAACTTCCTTCAGCGTCTGTGAACCCTACAAATCATTGCAGGAATTCAGGGTTAATAGCACCTATCTCCTGTTCGGTTTTCTTTATGTTATTAATAGTTGAATAATGAATTTTTTTACGGTTCGGGAAAGTGCTCGTAAAGGGGTATTTACATCTAAATCCTTTTAGTCCATATGAATTAGATGGACAGGGAAGATAAGCAGGGTTATTTTTAGTCTTATCTGACATAACTAACCTGCTTATTCAAAGAATAAACATATTCTTATACAGTTGGATTCAAACCAACACAGCTTCTATCTCTATTAAGATAGCCACGTAGCAAACTGTTAGTGAATCAAAATGAAATCCTCAGGATACATTTAATGATTCAGAATCAATTCATCTGAATACCTCTATGGATACAGGTATATTATTTAACCCAACTTCAAAGAAAGCTAAAACAGCCAATATTGTTGTAGTAACAACAGCTGTACATGTAATTATTTGTGCTCCTGATACTCCGATTTTTCTACCAAAAAAACCAGAAGCTATTGATCCTAATAGTGGTAAGATTATTATAGCTAGATACATTATTTAAATTCAATACTAATACTTCCTCTTCGTTTTCTCCCTTTTTCCATAGGAATTGTATTCCCTTAGGAAGGATAGGATATTACCATAATTTTTCTATTATGCCTGACTATAACTTAAGCAAATAATTATATAATTATATAATTATAAACCAACCTCCATTTAGTCGATGAACTGTTAACCAATATTTCTATATTGATGTTTAGCTGCGGATTATCTATTTCATTTCTTCATACAAACCGTTTTTACCATACAACGAGTCATTACCTGTTCCATTAATCATAGTACTATATTAATTTGGTAGATTTGTCTTTAAGATTTCCCCGCATTTTGAAGATTTCGCCTTAATGAGACTAGATAGAGGTTTGCTCTACCTTTTTTGACCTATTTTCTCTCAAACCCCTAATCATCTCCATGATTATTTTTAGTAGTAATCCCCATTTTGTTTTTTAATAACAAGATTTCTTTCAGACCATCTTCTTTTAAATGTTCTTTGTTTTTACCCATAAAAGCAGCTATTTTAAAAGTACAATAATTTGAATACTTTGATCCTGCAATACTATATTCTTCAAAAAAAGGTATTACATGGTTAATTATATCATCAATTCTTGTAACTACAAACTCAGCTATTGAACGCTTTTCATATCTAACTACATATCCGCATTTAAAGAAGTCTACAAAACTCTAATAAATCTACATCTCTTAAATCTTGAGCAATAGAAAAACGTAATGAAGCATATATATTGTCTGTTGTCTTAGATTTATTAATAGCAATAAAAAAATTAGATTCTCCTGTTGAAAATCCAGCTATTCACGGTTTAGAATGCACAAGTGTATTATAGTTATTTACTCTTTCTTATAACAGGAATAGTTTCAGGAAAAGCCTTTTTTAATTGGTCAGATAAACCTCCATTCATAGATGCCCTTGTATTAATTATTTTTTGTATTCCCTCTAGATTAGTATGCTGTTTTTCTAACATTAAATTAATAACATTTTTAAAAAGCATAGAATCGGAATATTTTTTAGTTAATAAGGGATAATTATCAAAGTGCGGTATAATTATATTAGTTATATCCTTAATAGAATGAACCCTAAATTCCACTGTAGAATTATTATTGGGTTGGGATACAAGTCCTATACCTCCGAAATATTCCTGTATTTTCAATACTAAAGATCTATCTTTTTCATGCATCTTTAGTTGAATTCTGGCCTGCACATTTCATCCAGTTTTATATCTAGAATTCTTTAGCATTGCAATTAGAAAGGAACTTTCAGCATCAAAAATTCCAGTTATAAATTATGGATCTAAAGAATTTTTACAGTTAAGGGGTTTAGATGTAGAATAATTTCTTATTCCACTTGGAATGATATTAAGAGATTTAATGGGTGATTTAGCTTGACTAAAGGATAGATGGATTGATTTAAAAGAGATAAATCTATAAAAAGCTACTAAAATACCTAAACCTATCGCAGATTCTGCTCCGGCTATGGCAATAATATAAATAGCGTATGTTTGACCTAATATATCATCAAAGCTAAGTGAACTAACCAATACTAAAAATGTAATAGCTAATAGCATTATTTCTATTGAAATAAGCATTAATATTATGTTTTTTCTGTTTAAAACAAAACCTAAAATTCCAATTGTAAATAAGATTAGTGATAAATTCATTGTATAAAAATAAAAAATTAATATAGGTGTTCTAAAGTATTTTATTGTATAAGACCTTTACTTTCATTAGGTTATTGATAATATCTTATATTGCTATTAAACAAATAAGAATTATTCATGTATTATATATACAAATTTAATACACTACTATAAAATTTTATGGCTAATTAGCTATAATGACTCTGTAATACGGTATATATAAAACAACCTGTTGCGTGTAAAACAGATGCTCTTTATTGAGCTCTTTTCTCTTTTTTTTGTGGGGCTTTAATAGGTAAATCATATATTAATCTTCTCCCCTAATTGCCTTTTACATTACGTAAATGCAATTTTCCAGCTTAAATACAAAAGATTTATATTCCGGGATATGTTATACTATCTGGTAAGGTAATTACTTTTCATAACATGTTAATTGTACAAAACAATTATTTTAATAAAATCTAGTAGAAAAAAAAGAACAATGTTCTTTTTTTTTTCAACCCTTTTTTATTTTTTTCGACGTAATTTCGAGTGTTCGAAATTACTAGAAAAAAATTAGGGACAAGCCCGCGAGGGCTAGAGTTAGATAGAAAGGTTTTATCTTACTATTGTTCTTGTAATCAAGATAAGAATAGCACAAAATGATCTGTTTATAGAAGAGTACTAATTATTGTTTCATTTGTTTCCATAGTTAGATTATTTATCAGACCCTGAATCCGCTCCACCAAAAGCTATTCTTTGATATATAGTGTATGCTGCAGAGAAAATTATAGAACTTGCAAAAACACCCAATAAAGATGATCTTTCAAATACCCCATAGAATGTAATGATAAAAATTCTTCTATTAATTACGACGAGAGGATGAATTACTACTTAAGCTATCCCAAGAAGTATGGGTAGCGTGTTTGTTAAATAAATAATAATCACAGTTATTACAAAGAGCCCTACAGCATGTATTACATTTATAATATTTTAAATTTATAAGTTTCTTACAGTTGTAACAAGGTTCACAATTTTGTTCATGGTTATGTTCATTCCTAGTGGTTCAAGCATGGTTACTTCCACGTACCTCACAATGATCAACTCTTCCATCATTAATATTATAGGTGTTGTAGCAATTAGATTTAGAATTTTCCCATGATAGGGGCTTAGTAAAAATCCCAGGTTGTATTTCACCATTTTCATTTCTATAGGGATATGCACCATCTACATGCTGTTGAACAGAAACTGTACCAACTGAAGGATCTGGTACTTGTCCAGCTGAAGGATTTGGTACTTGTCCTGCTGAAGAATCTGGTACTTGTCCAGCTGAAATATTGGGATTAGATCCTGCAGAAGATAAAAACACATTGTATCTCATTGATGTGAGATCAGCATTTATTACAGTAGAATCCGTTAACACATCGTATTCTTCTGAGCAATTACTTAGCAGTTCATTAGCTACAACATAATCTATTGTGCAATATAAAGCATAAAATAAATTAATTGTGTATAATGTTATAATAATAGCTGATAAAGATATATTAGCTATTATTATGTAGATAAATACTTTCCCACTCTGATTAATCTTTTTTTACTGTAACTAAGAAATTTAAAAGTAATAGCCGTAAGTAATATTCAAACAGATAATGCAAAACAACTATGATAATAATAGTAACTATTATCTTTGAAGAATGCTTCTCAAGCACTAGATGAGTCACAACTAATTACGTTTGAATCAAATGCGTAAATTAGAGTTGAAACTGAATAATGGATAGCGTCTAATATTGGTGCAGGATATATACCAAATAATACAGTAGGTATAACTAATATTAATAAGATTGTAAACTCTCTTTTAGTTAAATCCGGTATACTAAAGGTAAACATTCTTGAATAGGCTCCACCAAAAGCTATTCTTTGATACATATATATAGTGTATGCTGCAGAGAATATTACAGAAGTACTTGCAAAAACACCAAATAAAGATGATCTTTCAAATACCCCATATAATGATAAAAATTCTCCTATGAAATTTAAAGATAAAGGAGCTCCACAGTTAGCAAGACATAGTATGAAGAATAATATAGCAAATAATGGCATTACTTGAGTAACTCCTCTGTAGAAAGAAATAACTCTTGTAGAAGATCTGTCATATAATACACCTCCTGCACATATAAATAGACCTGGTGAAACTAGTCCATGAGCCAACCCTAAATTAATAGCACCTTCAATACCTTGTATACTGTTACTGAACACACCTAGAAGATAAACTGCAGCATGAGAAACAGAACTGTACGCAATAAGTTCTTTAATATCTATTGTTCTTAATGTACTAAGACTAGCGTATACTATAGTAATAACACCAATTAGGAAAATTATATAAGTATATTCCATATAAGCTTTAGGTAAAACAGGTAAAATTAGTCTCAGTATACCATATAAACTTAATTTAAGAACAATTGCTGCTAAAATAATACTTCCACCTAAAGGTGATTCAACGTGAGCCTTTAAAAGTCATGTATTCAGGAAAATTGTAGGAGTTTTTACAGCAAAAGCTATAAAAATACCATAAAATAAGAAAAGTTGTGTTAAATAAATGAAATTTCCTTTAAAAAGAGTATCAAAATCGGTAGTACTCATGATAGATGACATTGCTAATATAGACAATAGTAAAAATAATGATCCCAACAGTGTGTATAAGAATAAATAAAAACTAGCTTTTACTCTGTTATCTGACCCAAATATACCTATCAATATAAATAAAGGGGGTAAAATAGATTCAAAAAAGATGTAAAAAAGTAAAATATCTAATACTAAGAAAACCGCTAATAATAAAGTTTCTAATAACAGTATTATAATAACATAAGATTCTACATCTTTTGTTATTGATTTTCAATTCGATACTAGTGAGATAGGAATAATAATAGTAGTTAATAGAATGAAATATATAGATAGACCGTCTACACCTAGATAAAAGTCAAAATAACTTATTTCATGATATTCTTGTACAAATTGAAACTGATTTGTACTAAAATCAAATAAAATAAAGATAATTAATGAGATAAAGAAATTTAAGATAGATGTAGTTAACGCTATGAATTTTATATTTCTTAATGAAACTCCATTATCCCTATTAATTAATATTGCAAGTATACCTAATAAGGGAGTTAAAAGTAAAGATGATAATAACATATATAAAACAAAAAGAATAAATTCCTCTAGATAGTGTAGAATGATAATGTATCAACTATACTTTAAATAATCACCATATGGAAAGTAAGGTAAAAAATTCTTTATAAATATATCTATATATATATTGATAAATTCATAGACATATAAAATAGATGTCCTAAAAATTGAGAATTCTTATCTAAGACTTGAACTTAGATTAGGAGATTAGGAAAATCTTGTTTTGCCATTAAACTAATAAGAATTTTGTAATGAAATTTTATAAAACGGCACATTACTATTATAGCATAATACTTTTTTATGAAGTTATATATTCATACCATTATTGTGCATGTAGATAAACTCGTTTACGAGTAATTAATGATTATTAAAATAAGTTTTCAATTTTTTGGTTTAATGGGGCTTTAACATCTGTTTAGTCTTCTCCCCGTTATTGCTCTAGAAATAGTAATTACTAATGCAATTTTCCACTAGATAAATATAATTTGTCTACTGGGGTTTGTTATACTATTATGGATAAAAATGTAACTATCCTTTTGGGATGATCACCAGAAGGGGCAGATATTTAAGTCAGTTCCTTCTGGGAGACTAAGTAACAAATTTTACCATTTTCATAACAAGTTAACGGTAATCTAACCATTATTTTCTAATTTTTTTCTAGCCCTTGTTTTTTTCTAGGCCCCCTCTCTCTCAGAGAGGGGTCCAAACAGTTATGAAATAACGTCGAAAAAAAATAAGAAGCAGCCCCAGTCTTCTTTTCTTCTAAAAGAAGACGGGAGGGCTATTTAACTTTAAAGTTTTTTCTATTTTTTGTGTCTTAAATCCACAAAAGTATTTTCAAGAACAGTAACACCATACATTACAAAAGTAAAGTAAGAGAAGTATAATACGGTACTTATTTGTCCAAATTCAATAAATGGAGACTCAACGTGTTTAGCACCTAATTGCATTAAGATTAAGAAATTAGCAACAAATGCAAAGAAAGCTGCTTTACTTAAAGGTCTAAATTGCATACCTCTCGATCTACTTACATCTGTAACAGGTAATAGTAGTAATATAAGAATAGCTGCGAACATTGCTATAACTCCTAATAATTTGTTAGGAATTGATCTTAATATAGCATAGAAAGGAAGAAGATATCATTCTGGAACGATAGCTGCAGGAGTTTGCATAGGATTTGCCACAACATAGTTTTCACTATCTCCTAATACATTAGGCATAAAGAACACAAATAAAGATAATACAAATATAAATGCAAAGATTGTAATAAGATCTTTAAATATTAAATATGGAGCAAAAGGCATTCTATCGTAGTTTCCAGATACACCTAAAGGATTTCCTGATCCAGCTGTATCGTGTAAAACGATTAAGTGCATTAGTGCTAAAGCAGCTAATACGAAAGGTAAAACGAAATGTAATGAGAAGAATCTATTTAATGTTGCATTGTTTACAGAGCATTTATGTTGGTAACTTCATTTGAAACAAACTATCGTTACACTCAATGAATCTCTTCATTGATCGGACTATATCTTGATCTCTTTTAGTATTTTGAAGGTATTTTTATTTTTTCTGAATATCTAGTTATTTTACGCAATTGTTTAATTCATAATAAATATTGTAATTTCTTATTACCCAATAATTTAACAGGAGCTTTTTGTAGAAATTTAATAACATTTTCTATGGATCTTACTCCTGTAACTTTTAATTTGGAACAATTCGTTTTGTCTATATATATAGCATTAGTAAAAGATAAATACTGACGAATAGCAGATAATAAAATTTCTCCGTCTCTTTGAGAAACATCGAAACTAGCCACTAAGTAATCTTTATTATCGTGTAACTTATAAACACTAAAACAACCCTCAGCCTCTATAAACCCTACTAATCAAGCAGAAAAATAAGAAGCACCTGTAATAGATTCTATTGTATTTATAGGTTTGCTATCTCTAGTATATTCAGGTAAATCTTCTGAATATATAATACCTGATAATAGAGCGTCTTTAAATCTTAAATAATCATACTGTTTATTAGAAAACATAGGGTATTTGTCAAATATAGGTATAATAAAATTTTTTAAATGGTCTTTATTTCTAATTCTTAAAGATACCATTTCACTTTCTTTTCTTGTTCTGAAGCTTACTACACCTATACCTAATAATTTTTTAATTTTATAAATCAATTGAACGTCTTTTATAGAAAGTTCTATACCGAGTTCATATGTAATATATTTACCTTTTTTTGTAATAGAAAAAAAACCGTCACCTTCAAATAAACCTACTATATAAGCATATACGAGATCTTCTGCATGTAGTCTCTGAGAGGCCTCTGAAGTATGTAAACTTCTCACCCCGGCTGATTGTCCCCGTGTAATTGCAATTTTCACGTAAATAATTATAAATATAAAGAATAAATCGTATGCAAGTCCTAAATTAGGGGATTTTCCAGCATTAAGCAAAATTTTTAATATTACGTCGCCGCAATATGGTTCAACTGTGTTTAAACCACCTCAAATAAATTCTACAATATCTTGTCCTACTCAAGGAATAGCACTCATAAGGTTAGTAATAACTGTAGCCAAATCTTCAATTTACTTATTCTAGCCCCGAGGGGGCTGACCCTTTGGGAAGACCCCCGATGGGGCTCATCCCGACAGGGATAGTTTATTTAAACTCTTAGTGTTTAAATAAGTAAATCATGTACACCATACTTATCTTTATAAAGATAATTGTAATAAAATACAGTATAATGCCTTGTTTTTCAATATAAACCTATATATACTGAAAAAAGATTCCGACTGTACATTAAGCAGCATTTCAGCTACCCACCTGTGAACCAGTCTGTAGCGATATTTTATTATACCGACGGTCTTTATACTAAACAAATATATTTGACCGTTTTCACAAGCATTGCTGCAAAATCATATTGGGTCCTTTTATATTAAAAGGGGGACCTAATAAGTTTTAAATAAATATTGCCTTAAAAGATTCTGCAACTATATATAACTAATAAAAACATAACTAATAAAAATATAAACAAATAGGCTTTGCTTCTGTTTGTTTGTAATAAAAAAAAACTAATACAAACTTAAACACCTTCAAATACAACATGGTCCCTTATTTTACCAATCATCCTATCCACCATCTCCAAAAACATGCATTATATCTAAGTCCGTCTTCAAAAGCTATATTTTCTATTTTTCCCTTACAAAGAAGATGAAACGTATCATAGAAAGGACAAATCGAAAGAAGGGTACTTATCTGATTACGGTACAAAGTCCGGATATCTCCGATCTAATGAGTCAGATATAACACTCCACCTA